GGGGGGAAGTTTTGTGGGACTCCGAGAAGGGCGGAGCCTGGCAGAAGGTGTCTGTGAGGGTCATGCGTGAGGGTGTGAATGTCTAGAAATTGATGGGGGAGATGGACCTGGAGGTTCAGAGATGGTGCAATCCGGGAAGAGCCTTGGGACAGGAGTTGCCCTAACCCGCGGGAAACTGACAATGGGCCCTGTGCTCCAGGAGACGGACTCCGCCGGTGGTGCCGCCCCCGGCCCGGGAGGACCGGGCCTTGTCATCCCGGGAGCGCTCCACGTCGCGTGGCCGCGGTGCTGCCCGCTCTTCATCCCGGGAGAGTGGGCGTGGGGGCCGAGCTCGAGGCCGCCCTGCCCGCCCCTCGCCCTCACCCACAGGTTTGTGCTGACCCTTCCCTGCCAGTGGGAGGATGTGGAACGGACTAGAACGGTGGGTGCGTGATCCTGTGACCCCAGCCTCTTCTCTCCACATCCCCCTACCTTGTCCTAGGTGGTCGCGTGCCCCGTTTCGACCCCACAGCCTTTGTGAAAGCCAAGGAGAAGAAGCAGAGAGAGATCAAGATGAAGTTAGTGCCCATTTTCTCCTCACTTGCCCACATCCCTGCCCCTTTATCTGGCCCTCTGACTTGGGTCGTCATCTATCCTTGTTTCCCGTTTGTCTTCATCACCTGCTTCATCTTTCCCCTCCCCCCTCAGGCGGGTCACCAGCCCTGGTTGTGACCCACGGGGGCAGACGCCCTTCCCTGCAGTAGTTGGGCGCACAGGCAGGTGTCTCCTTTTCGGTTACCTAGGCAGCAGCAGCAGCAGCAGCAGCAGCGGAATCGATTGGGGAGTGGAGGAAGCGGGGACGGCCCGTCCATCTCCTGGGCTCGCCAGACTCGGCGTCCCGCTGCCGTGACCGGCAGAGGGGATGCGGCTAACCGCTCCCGAAACCGCAGCTCCTCTGGTAACGTGTTGGAGCGCGCGGGCCAGCAGGCGGGCTGGGCGGGACCGGCGAGTGCGGGAGTCTCACTGTCTCCTTCTCCCTCTAGTGGACAGTTTCCGCAGCCGCTGCTCGTCAGCCAGCTCCTGCAGCGAGTTCGAGGATTTCTCTGAATCCCTCGCTAGAGGGTAAAACTTGGGTTGGGGGAAAGGACCGCCATTAAACGGGTGCCTGGGGAGACTGAAAACAGTCTTTTGCAGGGAAATTGAGTGATGGAGGCTTGAAACCATGGAGGTTGAGGTGGGAGGTGCCAAAGACCCTTCCCATTGTTCCTTGATTTCTTCCTCCTTTCAGCGTTCTTCGCCACCGCGGGAAGCCTCCAAGCCCCACAAGCTGGAGTGGGTCGAACGCGGTGAGTATCTTTCCTCAGGCCTTGGAGGAGGTAGGGGCAGCATGAAACCACCAGAAGCGGCTGTCCTCATCTCCCTGATTCCATTCTGGGGATCAGGTTGCAGAGGCGGCTCTGAAATGCCTCTGGACGCAGTGTTTTGACACCACTACATTGGAAGGGAGAATGGGGGTGGGATGGGGGCAGAGGACACTGGTTAAGAGCACCTGCTTTGGCTTCAAATTTCCAGGTCTTAAAGCCTGGCTCCTCTAACTCTTAACACCTGTGTGACTTCAAGAGTTACTTAGCCTCTCTGTACCTCAGTTTCTTTATCAGTTAAATGGGGATGGTAATAGTATTCACCTCAGAGGGTCTTGGTGAAAATACAAAGTTATGTAAGTGCTTATTAGGTATCAGCCTTATTTTTTCTGAGGTCCTTAGGTTCAGAATTTATGTTGGGATTTGGGGGGCAGGAGTAGAGGGAGGGTACCTGACATCTTTCATGCCTCCCCCAGCTGCAGAAGCTCACCCCTGTGGAACGTGGCCGCCATCAGAGACACTTGGCTAATTCGGGGGGCTGGGTCCCCATCAAAGGTGAGCCTGGGACTCCACATCTCCCCCTCACCTGCCTCAAAGCCCTCTGGGGTGGTACTGAGGGCAGCGTATTGAGCCCCGGAGCTCCCTGTGGCTTCAGGCCCCTCACAACTCCCAACACCCATGCCTGCTCTGACAGAGTACAGCTCCGACCACCAGGCGGCCGACATGGCTGAAATAGACGCCCGTTTGAAGGCCTTGCAGGAATACATGAACCAACTGGACACGCGGTCGTGACCTTGGAGATGGAGCACTGTCTCTCCATCCCCTACCCACTGCTGGATTTGGGCTTGGGGTGGGGAGGTGGGGCCTGTGTCCTTGTAGCTTTGCCCAGGCCCCACCCCTCCTGGTGCTCTAGGGGTCTCTGACCCCTCCCACTCCCCCCATGCATTGCATGCTGGGAGAGAGGGTCTGTGCATTTTGTAAATAAACATATTTGCCCTTGGGATCCCTCAGCTTATGACTGAAGGGTAGGAGTGGAAGGGGGAGTAATGAGGATTGGGAGGGGAGTGTCATTGGGACCTCTGTGCATTTCTGGGCATGTCTGTGACGGGAGCAGATTGGGGTTCAGGCTTAGGAAAAATTCCCACACTCTAAAGCAATAAAAGGGATGGGGGGCTGTGGGGTGGTAGTGAGCAGCCCAGTCACCAGAAGGGTCCAAGTAGAGATTCTGCACAGGATGTCTCTGGCTGTGTGGTGGAGAGGGGTGTCTTATAGCATGGTTCACTGCCTGAGAGGAACCCCTAGCCGCTGTCTGTGACATCTGGGCCAACTTGGTGCTGATTCCTGCGTTCTGACCTGAGACCTCTGGGTTCTGAGCTGTGATGTTGCTTCTGAGCTGGGATCTCTGGGGTCTTGGTTCAGGGTCAGGGCCTCTGGGTTCTGAGCACCAACCAGGATAGAGTGCTGGAAGTGGGGGGGTATGGTTGGGGTTCTTGTGGGAGGGAGGGTGGGAAGGGAGGTTTGTGGCCGGAGAGGAGTACAGTTTGAGCTGCATCTTTATTGGTGGGTGGGGGGCAGTGGGTTTCTGATGGGGTGGAGCTAGACAGGGCCTCACTCGTGGTATTGTGGCCAGGTCCGGATGATTTCGTACAGCTGGTCGCCTGGCGAGAGTGTCTGTTGTGCATCCCGGTGTCCTTTGACCGTGTATCTGGGGCTCAGGGCTCCTTGAGCCACACCGCAAGCCAGCAGACTCTTAGCTGCCCGGAGGGCCCGGGGTGGGGGCGACCGCTCTGGTGGGGGACAGAGGCAGGAGTTAAGCTGGGGCTTCCTCGAGGGCAGAGGTAGTGTGGGGTAGTGGTTCTGATTATGCACTCCCAGCTGGCCTTCTAGGTCCCAGAACCTGGTCTGCCACTCCCTAGAGTGACTTAACCTCTCTGCCTGAGTTTCCTCATCTGTGAAAGCAGAGAATAATGGCACCTGCCACGGGGCTATGGCACCATGAAATGAGTTACTTTATGTAAAGCCCACCGAACCATGCCTGGTACAGCAAGTGCTGGCTGTCATGATTATTGCTTATTCTCTCTCTGCCCCAGGCCTTTGGGTCCTACCCACAGCAATGCTATTGACTATCAAGCACTTCCTAGGTGCCATGGACTGGCATAAGAACTGTTATATAGATGAACTAACCCTCATCCGAACCATGTGGTTGAAAATGGTTATTATCTAAAGGAGGAACTGAGGCTCAGCAAAGCAGAGTCACTTGTGCAAGGTCACAGAGCTTGTAGGTGGCAGTCTGTCTCCATGACTACACACTGTTCTGTGCCATCCCCCAGGGCCCATGTCCATTCCCTATCCTGACTGGCTGGACACTCACCCATGTAGTTGCCCATGAAGGTGATGCCGATGGACATGTGGTTCCAGAATTTACCCGTGTGGGCGCCCTTGGTGTTCCAGCCCCGGCCCTCATACACAAGCCCATCTTCTCCAATCAGGAAGCTGCGTGGGAAATGAGGGAGGTTGATGAGTGCGTGAGTGCTCCCTGAGAGAGGACTCCCTCCTCCATTTACCCCTGCCCCATTCCTGCCACTCACACAATTTCTCCCACACCCTCCTTATCCCCTATTCCTCAATAATGACAACGACAATGACAATGGCCCCTGATATGCCATGCACAGCTCTCTCTATATGTACTTTTTTCATCCTCACAACAACCCATGAGTCACTACTGCCCCCATTCTGTAGATTGAGAATCAGAGAGGTGGAGACACCTGCCTACAGTTACACAGCCAGTCAGGGGCAGAGCCAGGATTTTCGCCCAGGTCCCCGTGACTCCCACCCCCAGGATCTGATTCCTTGTTCTCCTGCCTCCCTGGAGGATTTGTTGAGCTCTTGATTTGCTGAATCCTCACATGCAGTCCTCTGAGGCAGATACTGTTGTCATTTCCACTTTAAGCCAAGAAAGCAGACTTAAAAAAGAGAGATGATTTGCCCAAGGTCATGCCCCAGAGGCCCCTGCTTCAGAACTGTCCATCAAGAAGCTGTTCTCTCACCTCAGCCTGCTTCCTATTTTCTGTTGCCTGCCAGGGTCCACTCGGGCGACAGGTTCAGGGACTTAAGGGCTAGGGCCACAATCAGACACAGACCCTGGAGCCCTAGCATCTGCCTCTCAGGTTTCCAATCCTGGCAGCACGTCTTGATTGAGTGAGTCTGACTTGGCATGTTCGAATTAACTAGATCAGCATCTTAGGAGAAGCATTACCTGCCACCTCAGCCCTCTGGCTCATGGGTCACCAATGATGCACAGCATGTTAGAACTTCCAAATGTCGGGTCCTCAGTCTGCCACTTAGGAAACCAGACTGTCAGAATCTGGCTCTGAAGACGCCAGAAATATCATCGTGACACTGCCTCCCAGGGCTGAGCTGGTTATGGCCCTGCTGTGTCCCCAGCACCTGGCACAGGAGATTGGTGCTCCTTTATGTTAAGTGGATGCATCTAATTTAAACCTCAACCAGTGCCAGGTGGGTGCAGTTAGGAGCCCCATTTGACAGGCGAAGAGACTGAGGCCCCGAGAGAGAACATGATGTGATGAGGAAGGAGGATTCGGAATGTTTGGATCAGACTCTGACGCCTAAAATCTGAGAAGCAGATTTGATTCTGCTTTTCTGAAGGCGGTTGACGCCAGAGGCTGTGGAGCCAGGCCCTGGTGTTCATTACTTCACAGGAACACTCAGAATTAGAGCACCTTGGAAACAAAACCTTGACATTGGAACCTGTGAATTATAAGACCTTGAGCCGGAAAAGCTGGGATACTCTTAGAAGCTTCTAGAATTCTCTGGAGTGAGGTCCCCAGATTTCCCAGCCTCACCCCAGCCCAACTGAAGTCCTCTAAGGTTGGGACCTGGGAACCTGCATTTCCAGTAAAGTGACTAGTGCTTACAGAGGTCTGAGAACCTGTAAGGGTCTAGCGTTCTCTTTTGCTGGATCTCAGCCTGTTACCCTGGAAAGGGAGCTGGTGGGCCTGGGCCCCAGAGGCAGATCTAATCAGTCCCCATTCTATTTCTGCCCTCATGTCTTCTGGTGGCAGCTAGAGGGAGCTTCTTATACCTAAGCAGACTCACATCCCTCCCTTGGCTCCTGCCTTCCCCAGTAGAACCAGAGACACAAGGCTCTGTGACAGCCAGCCCCTCCCACCCCTTCCTCATTGCATATCACTTCTCCCAGCTACCCCCAGCCACCCTGACCTCTGGCCTTCCTGGATGACCAGCTCACTTGGTCCCATACCCTTTACTACACTCCCTCAGCTCCCCCATCCCAAAGCCACCAGCACAGGAAGATGGTCCCTCAACCTGCCCTTCAAAAGGAGCCCATGCGGGTCTGGTTTCAGCTTCTGAGGTCGCCCTCCATCACTCTTTTTCCATCACTTCTGCCACCATCTGAAGTCATCATGCTGACTTTGTTTCTCCCTGCTGGTCTTTAAATCCAGTCAGGATAGCTTCACACTGCTCATGGCTGCCCCCCCCCCCATCCCGGCATTTGGCACCCCGCCTGGGACCTAGTAGGTGCCTCATGACAATAGTCTATGGATTTGGGGGCTCCAATGACATGCAGGTGCTTTGCATGTAGGTTTGATTATCAGGTGGACCACAATCCCACTCACTTTGCAGAGGAGGAAGCTGAGAGAGGGCAACTGCCTGCCCTGGGTCTCAGACAACCATAAGCAGAGCTGGGACTGGTTGTCTGCCCCCTAACAAAGGGGCCAGACTTTAGGAAAGGACTGCAGCGTAGAAGACATGTTCATGTGTGTTGGCAGTCTGTCCCTTCCTCCAGGGAGCAGAGCTTGGACTTCAGCCCTGTCCCCTCTTCCTCGTCTTTGTGCTGCCCGCACACCCCAGCCCTATGTGGTGGTGACCTTGGGGAGAAACCAAGACGCCATGAGGTTGAGTAGGCAGCGCAGGGTGTCAACCAGGCGGCTGTAGGACCTGGTTCTGGTCCCTGCTGTCTCCTAGGCTGGTACATCCCTCCCTCCTCCAGGCCCGGGTGCAGCCTCTGCCTCCCCTGCGCACTTACTTGTAGCCCACGTCGCAGAAGCCCAGCGTCCGCGCGTGGTAGTGCTGCACATTCTGGGCCTGCTGCAGGCACAAGGCCGGGGTGTTGCAGGAGCTGCCGGCAGTATGCGACACCACCACGTAGCGCACTGGCAGGTTCAGTGTCTGGTTGCACTCTGACGCCGTGGCCTTCCACTCTCTCCGGGGCACGATGGGTCCGCAGCAGGCCTGGTCTTCTTGCGCCGCTGCGAGTCTAAGGTGAGCGAAGGCCCAGGCGAGCAGCACGTAGAATCGCGACATGGCGGGCAGGATGCACAAAGATGGCTAGTAGCACGGGGCTGCCTGGGCCGCCTTTATATGCTGGGGCCTAACAGCAGGGAAGGTCTTGCTTCATCACACCTCTGCGGACTTCCCCAGCAGATTACATGGGACCCTAGGCTCTGCTTCCTTCTCTTGCGGGGCTGAAACAGGATGCTGTGTGGTTGGATGTGAGGGAGGCGGCGTGGGAGGAACCCCTGACAAAGTCATGGGGAGGGGGCGGCGCCTCACCCAGCTGAGAGTGGGGGTGGGGAGAGGCGCTCAGGCCCCTGGGCACTTTGCCCTGTGGTTTCTGGAAGACTTGGGGCCCGTGTTGTCTCTCCTTTCAGTGGGGCATTGGACAACTCACCGGGAACATAACACCAGAGGGAGGCGGGGGCACTTCTTCCTTTCCACAGGGATGGGGTACAAAGGCTGCCATTTTTTAAGCACTTCTCCCAGGCCCAAGCCTGATGTCATTGAACCCTTTCAGCAAATCCGAAAGGTGAGTATTGAGAAGCCCATTTCACAGTTGAGTAAACTGAGGCTGGGAGAGGGGAAGTTATGTGCCTGAGACTGGGGCATCGTGAAGCCTGGTGGCTCAGAGCCGAGATTCAGAGCCAGGCTGCCTGCATTTGAATTCTGGCCACATTCCAGTGTGTGAACTCCGGCAAGTGACCTAACCTTCCTGTGCCTCAGTTTCCCCCACCTGCAAAATGGAGATGATAATATGGTCAATGTGAGATTAAATGGGTTGACAGGGTTGAGCCCTTAGAAGATGCCTGGCTCTTAGTGCCACACAAGCTTCACTGGGACTCAAACTCAAATCTGCCCTTGGTAGTAAGCAACGTGCTTTATGTGGGCGCCACAAGCAGCTCCATTCTGCACAGGAGGGAATCCAAGGTCCATAGAGGAACAGTCATTTGCCCAGTGCCACTCAGGGGTTTGGGATCACCTGTCAGCACAGAAGGCTTTCCTGGGGCCTCTGCCCTGCCCAGGTCCCCTCACCCACTCCCTCCTAGAGAACTATGATGAGATAGATCAGTGCAGACTGCTTGGTTTGCTGGTCCTCCTTTCCTGCTACTTGAGTGGATTTAAAATTTTTTACGTAAGTAACACAAGCTAGCTGTAACAAGTTGAGTTGATAAAAGATGTTACTCACCCTTGTTTGGCTCCTTCCAGCTCCACCCACATGAGGTCACCAGTGTGGTATGTTTTCTTTCATTATATTTTCCATTCTCATGTAAATCATGCTTATACCCGTGATATTATCACTTGGCGTACCAGCCATCTCTAAGCTGATCTTTTTTCATGAGTTTGTGAAATAGATGTTATTATTAACCCTCTTTTATAGTCAAGGAAACTGCGGCCTGGAGGGGTTATCACCTACAGGGAGAAGATGGTGACGCTGGAGTTTAGCCACAGGCTTCCTAATGCCAGAGATTAAGCGCTAAGCCATATATTCCACTCCCTATAAACATTATATGAGGACATATAAAAAATAAAAACCATGCATATCACTTTGCCTTTTGTCACTTAATATTTCATGTGCATCTCTCTAGGTCAATAGATCTAATTTATTCTTCATAATAGTTGCATAACATTTCACGGTATAGTTTTACAATTTTGACATTATCTTTTCTTTTTTGAAGCTTTCTAGTTCTTTCCTCTTAATGCTGCACAAAATATCATCAGACCTACAGCCCTACACACTGAAGCATTTATACATTATAAATGTAGACTCTAGGTCAAAGACTATTTAATAGATATTAGTAGACTGTTTTCCCCAGAAGGCTGTTAACAATTCATGTTTCCACCAGTGATGTATTGGAGCCCCCAATCACCCCCAAAGTGGGTGTTATCACCTCTTAAATGTATGGGTATAAAGTGATATTTCTTTGTAGCTTTAATTGGCATTTTTATGGCCACTTGGGGGATAGAGTGTTTTTCGAAGTTTGCTGCACATTTGGATTTACCATCTGAATTTGTCTTCTGTCAATTGCCTGTTTATTTCCATTGCTTATTTTAAAAGTGAACTGATATTTACCATTTTGTTATCAATTTGCAAAATGAGGAAAAGCATCCCATAACTAGGATTGTTATGTACATTTTTGGTTTCATTTCTTTTTAAGAAGCATTAAAGAATAATATACATGTAGAAAACTGTGTAAATGCACTTTTTATAGAGTTTATAGAATATAATGTATAGAGTTAATAGGATTAATAGAGTGGAGAGCTCTATTAATTTTCACACCATGAATACATTGTGTATCCAGCACCCAGATCAGGAAATAGAGCTACATTTAAAATTTTAACAGATACTGCCAAATACCATTTCAAAAGAGTTTAGTATTTTTCTCCCTAGCAATGTGATCAGTTTTAAAATTTTTACCAATCCAGGGAATGATATCTCACTATTGTTTTATTTGCATTTTCTTGAACATCAGAGAGGTGATCATCTTTTTAGTTATTTATGACTGTTTGCATCCATCTTCTGTGAACTATCTGTTCATCTCTTAATCATTTCCCTGTTGGGTGGTTGTATATGGGGGATATTAACCCTGTCTGTTTAAGGTGCTGCAAATCTTTTCCTCCAGGCTATTAAAAAATCTATTTTTTTCTTTTATAGCTTCTGTGTTTCTTATATTGCCTTAAGAAAATCTTTCCATACCAAGGTTATACTTTTTCTATTAAAAAAATATTGTTATTTGGTGTTTTACTTTTAGACCTTTACCTCAGCTATAATTTATAATTGCATATGGTGTGAGGTAGGCGTCTAACTTTGTTTCCAAATCACTAGCCATTTGTCCCAGCGCCATTTATTAAATAGTTAGACCTGGTTTTAAATTTCAGCCCCACCACATTAGCTGGAGGACCTTGGGCAATCGGGCAACATTTGACATAGCTGACCATTTCCTTCCTGAAATACTCACTTCCTTTAGCTTCTGTGTCATAAGACTGTCTTGATTTTCCTTCTGCTTCTTTTGTTCTCCCTCTCAGATTCATTCTTCCCTCCTTGACTGCTATACTAAACTTTTTCTGCCAGGTGATCTTATCCAGGTAATGGCATCAGCCACCACTGAAGTGAAGATGACTTCCAGTTTTTTATGTCCAGCCCAGAGCTCTCAACTGAATTCTGGACCTCTGTGTACCCCTGCCTACTTGACATCTCCACTTGGATGTCCCACAGGCACTTCAAAAGCAAGATTCCCCAGATGGCTCATGATTTGCTCCTCCAGAGTCGGCCCTCTTTCAGGAGTCACTAAGGGAATGACATGATCATCTTCCAGTTACAAAAGTCATACATCTGAGCGTATCCTTGACCAACCTCCAGTCTCTCCCCTCTTGTTTCTTGCTCTCTAAACGATGTCCAGCACACAGCAGGTGCTCAATAAATACCAAATGATTGAATGAATATCCAATTCACCCCTAAGTTATGTTGCTGTTACCCCCTAAATAGCTCATGAATTAGACCACTCCTGTCTATTCCCACTTTCTCCATTGTAGACAAAAAAACATCTAGCCTAAGAGAAAGCATATAAGAGTTTATTTGAGCCAAATTGACGACAATTGCTGGGAAGCAAAATCTCAACGGATTGAGAAAATGCTCCACAAAATGGTGATTTGCAGCTAATTTTACATGTAGAATCAAAGGAGGAGGGTTACATGAAATCCATTGGTGGTGGATTAAGGAGGTGGGAGAAAGCAAAGCGGGGAAATCTCTGGGATTGGATGAAAGTAAAATGGAGAGACATACTTCTTTTACATTGGTGGGTACAGGATAGTTAATAGCATTACAACACATAGAAATGGTATTTGGGGAGCAAGAGAACAATGAGGGATTCTGTAGTTTCCTGCTTTGGTGTGGTCGGTTGTGTCCCCTGGGGGGAGGGGGCATCCATAAAAAAAGGGATTACTCTGGCGTTCCAAATTCATGTTATCTTACAGGTAAAGAAAAAAAAAAAGACAATGGGCAGTCTCACTTAAGGTAAAGATTGACTTTTTTCAAGGAAGCTACAGGCCACAGATGTGACTTCCCTCCATGGCCCACCTTAGGAATTTTTATGTTCACGCCATCCTATGTGGTATTTTCAGTCTCCTGAGCTTGCCAGATTTAACCTGTGGCCCTTTTTCCGTCTACACCATACTGGTCCAGTCACCATTTCCTTACACCTAGAGTTTACTTCCACACCCGCAGTGATTTCCCAGCATGCACCCTGGCCCCTATGAGGCCAAAGCTCAGATCCAATTGGGCTTTTCCTGAAGGTCACTCTCAAAAGTGAGTCACATTTTTCTGTTGCCTCTCATGACTCTTCAGATGAGTCCCAAGCTCCTCACCATGGCCTCCACCCCAGCCTCACCTCGCTCACTTCTAAGCCCATCTTCCGGAGTTCCCCAGCCAATCAGCCTTTCTTGCTGCCCTTGAAGATGCTTTGACTACCCTGCCCCCTAGGGCACTTTGTATGCACTGTGCACAAATTTTAAATAGAGGAACCTTAAGAAATTCAGGAACTTTGGGGCCGGCCGAGTGGCGCGATGGTTAAGAGCTGGCTTGGGAGGCCAGAGGGCCCCGGTTTGGATCCCACATATGAGGGCCAGTGACACTGCCCTCCATAGCTAATGCTGAACAACAGCTCAACCTGGAGCTGGGCTGCTGTGAGTCGCTGGCGACGGCATAGGCTGCAGCCCCTGTGGCAGGGGCATAGGCTGCAGCCCCTGTGGCAGTGGGTTGCCATGGGCTACCGTGTGTAGCCAGCAGCCAGTGTGAGCGGCCAGCAGCTAGCAGCCAGCGTGAGCGGCCAGCAGCCGCAGTGAGCGGCTGTCCAGAAGCCGGTGAC